CTCAAAGGTTTATAGTTCCCAGGCTTCTCTTTATATCCCTTCTTAAGCAAAGACATAATCTTTGTCACTCCTCAGTCATCTGGCACTTCACCCATGATTACAGATTATACAAATATTTCTGTGATGGGCTCTGCTACTTCCTCCCCTAACTTCCCACAACATCTTGGGATACACCAGATCAGATCTCTGTGGTTTATCCACCTTTATATTTTCTAACACCTCCAGCACTTCCTCTTCTGTGATACAAATTGTTTTCAAAACATTTGTATTATTTCCCTGAGTTCTCTAGTCCATTTCTTCCTCCACAGTAAAATCTGACATAAAATATTCATTTAATATCTCTCCCATCTCCTGGGGATCAACATGAAGATGACCTCTTTGATCTTTAAGGGGCCCTACTTTCTCTCTAGTTGCTCTCTTGCTGTTAATGTACCTGTAGAATCTCTTTGGATTATCTGTGACTTTATCTGCATATCCCCTCTTTACCTTCCTGATCTCCCTCTTATGAATGCCCTGACACTCTTTGTACTGTTAAGGGTTCCATTTGAACCCAATATAGGAGCTAGAATAAATGTTATTCCCTCCACACTTCACTTCAGTTCTGATGAAGAGTCATCTAGACTCAAAACATTAGCTTGCTTTCTCCCCATGGATGCTGTCTGACCCACTGTGATTGCAGCATTTATTTTCATTTGAACCCAGTTGTCTATATATAATATATGATTATTTTTTATTCTTGACTAAAAGCTCAATATCTTTATTCATCCATTATTCTCTAATCCAACCAGCCTCATCTTTCACTCTAACAGGAACATAATGACTCTGAACTCTCATTATCACATTTTTGAAAAGCCTCCCACTTGTCAGACGTCCCCTCACCTGTGAACACAGTCTACTCCAAATCAACTTTTGAAAATTCTTGATCTCATACCATTAAAATTTGCCTTATTGCAATTAAAAGCTTTAACTTTTATGGAAGGCTTATCCTTTTCCATAACTATCTTAAAGCAAATAGAATTATGATCACTAGGCCCAAAGCATTCCTTTACTATCACTTCAGTCAACTGGCCCGCATTATTATCCAGGAGAAGGTCAGGTTTTGCTCCTTCTCTAGTAGGAACATTCACACATTGATAAATAAAACTTTTTTGAATACATTTAACAAATTCTTTACCATCCAAACCATGGAAGCCATGGGAGCCCCAGTCAATGTTTGGAAAATTAAAACGAAATGATACTAGACAAAGGGAGACTTAAACATTGGCTTGCTCTGTCTCTCTGATTTACACCACTCAAACTTGACATGAAATCACCTGCAGATCTCTCCAATGGTAGGAAGTACCAATCAATCTTGCAAAGCAAGATCCACACTCCAAGTGAGCGAGAGGAAGAGAAACAACAACTGCATATTGGCGAGTAAGGGGCAGACTTTCCATTGGCTTAGTATACGAATTAAGAAGTCATGATGAGGTTGTACAGGACATCGGTAAGGCCTCTTCTGGAATACTGTGTCTAGTTCTGCTCACCCAGTTATAAGAAGGATATTATTAAGCTGGAGAAGGTTCAGAAGAGATTTACCAGGATGTTGCCGGGTATGGAAGATTTGAGTTGTAAAGAAAGGCTGGATAGGCTGGGACTTTTTTCACTGGAGCATAGGAGGTTGAGAGGTGACCATAGAGTTTTATAAAATAATGAGAGGTATAGATAGAGTTAATGGTAATTGTCTTTTCCCTAGGATGGGGGATTTCAAGGCTAGGGGACACATTTTTAAAGAGAGAGGAGAGAGATTTAACCAAGACATGAGGAGCAAATTTTTTACACAGAGCCTAGTTCATGTGTGGAATGAACTTCCTGAGGAAGTGGTGGATGTGGGTCCAAAAACAAAATTTGAAAGACTTTTGAATAAGAACATGAATAGGAAAGGTTTGGAGGGATATGGGCCAGGAGCAGACAGGAGGGATTAGTTTAGTTCGTGATTATGTTCAGTGTGGACAGGTTGGACTGAAGGGCCTGTTTCTCTGCCATATGACTCTATGGCTCTATGACTATGGTCTGACAGCTGTTACTCCAATGTAAATGGGAGTGGAGACACTGTGAATTTCTTGCTGTAGCAGACTCTGAAGGAGTTATCCGGGAAATTGAATTATCCACTGGGCAATTCCTCAAGACATGGAATCCTCAGAAAGTATCCATTTAAATTGAATTATTTGGAGGGTACTGATGAAATTCAGTAAATACTCAGGAGTTAGACCATGTATTTAATAGCCTAACGTCTCCGGAGTAACTATTACCTGATCCCATAGTTATCTCTCACAGCCCCAAACTATACTGCCCCCAGACTTTGACCTAACACCTCCAGGATATGACACCCCTAGCGCAGGAATTAACATCCCCCCATCTACAGACGCAATCCCCACAACCCTTCCATCCTCACAAACCCCCCATCTGACATGACCCAACTCCGACCTTGACCCTCCCTCTTCCACTGTGATTGGATCTGACCCGACCTGACCTGTGCCACCAGTTCCAACCATTCATTACCCCACGCACCCCCCCATGCTGAATGGAACTCAACCCTCCCCTAGCTGGACCCTACCAACACACTCTGCCAAATCCCTATCCTCCCCATTCACAGTTGGACCTAATTTCTCCAGACCACCCCAACCTACCCAAAATACTTAGCTTCCCACTTTGTACCATGTACGGTTCCCCTAGCCAACTGACACTGAATCCCTACCCTCCTGGCATCCTAACATCACACTTACCTTATGTACTTACTTATTTAAGGAAAGATTTCATTGGAGGCAATTCAGAGGAGGTTCACTCGGATGATCCCTGGTATGGAGGGAGTGTCTGATGAGAAAAGGCTAAACAGGTTGGAACTCTACTCACTGGAGTTTAGAAGAATGAAAGATGATCACTTTGAAACACATAGGTTGCTGAAGGGTCTTGATAGGGTAAATGCTGAGAGATGTTTCCTCTCATGGGAGAGTCTAGGACCAGAGGATATAGTCTCAGAAAAAAGGAGAGCCAACTTAAGACTGAGATGAGGAGGAATTTCATCTCTCACAGGGTTGTGAGTTTTTGGAACTCCTTGCCACAGAGAGCTGTGTGGGCAGAAACTTTGTGTATATTTAAGGCTGAGTTAGATAGATTCTTGATCATTTGGGGAATCAATGGTTACGGGAAAAGACAGGAAAATCAATGTGAGGAACGACTGATTAGCTATGATCCTATTGAATGGTGGAGCAGGCTCAAGATGCCAAATGGCCTAGTCCCGTTCTTATTTCTTTATGGTCTTATTATTTGTCTTACTTACTGTTTGAAGGCAGCTTCCAAAGTGACCGTCTGTGATTCTAGATTCTTACATTTCAAAATCCAGTAGCTGACTGCTGTGAAAAGGGGATGAAATTTACCTTCCCACAACAAAACTGTTAGAATGGTAGTATGGCCCCACATTTCAGAGGGAGCTATGAGCAGAATCTTCTCTCAGAAATATGGATCTCAATTTCTTTGGGAAAATAAAGAGCTGGAGCAGCAATCTAAGTGAGATTACACTCCCTGGAAAATGCGGTCCTTCATGTTAGTTGTCAAAAGGTTACAGTGAAGGAATGTGGGGGGACATGTAGGGTAAACCATTAATGATACCTTCATTGTGAGAATATCTGATGAGGATGTGCATCAAGAGCTACGTCCCAGAGTTATCAGTTCATAGATTTAATGGGGGAACTGGGAGCAGAGTCTTTTGGGAGTCAATAATGATCAGCATGCGATGTCCCAACCTGGTTCCTACTCAGACTGGGGCTAACATAAGGAAGAGGGATCAGTCTTAATGAACTAATAACTGGCATTGATACAATGCCTTCCACATTTGCATACTCTCATTCGGTACTCTCCTCGGTACTTGCCCATCACTCTGTCCTCATTGCTGTGAGGAACACTGCAGTCGAGTGGACAAGGCAGCCTGAGTGGGAGGAGCTGTCAGTGATGTGGCACCCATTCTCTCTTCAGGTATATCCTTGCCAGGTAAGCACCCCCAGCTGATCTGAGCGAGGCTGCCAATGGGGCATAGCTGGCATCTCACCCAACACCACAAAGGGTATCACATTTTCTATGAAGACCATTGACGAGGAGTTGACCAGGTGAGTGGGGGCAGGGGTATTGTGAGAAGGACAGCAGTCAATTTGTGGCCAAGAGTGGTTTGATTGAGGAGGAGTGACTTGGATCAGAGGGCCAAGCTCTGGTGGAAGGGCAGTGGACAGGAGTGAAGGTGGATTATAGATGTTGTGGTCTTTGATTGTGGGAGTGGTGTAATCAGAAAGGGCAATTAGACTCTGGGATGGAGGGTCAAAGAGGATCAAGTGCAGGAATGGTAGTTGGAGGGTCAATTAAAGATGGTTTGATGTGGTGTTGGTTAACTGGAAATGGGTGGTCAGGAGGGGTGTTGATGATGAGAGAGGAGTTTGGATTAGGCTGAAGGTCCGGGTGGGGAGCAGGAGCAATGGGATCAGCTATAAATCCTGCACGGAGATGGGTTTGTCAACATGATTGGAGGTCAGAGACTTGTGATGAGAGAATCATATGTCTGTGTGAAGGGCTTGGTGTGTGAGGGGCCTCGGGGCAGATAGGGGAAAGGGTTTGATTCTGGGGGTAATTCAATGGCTTAAGATTGGATCAGGGACCTTGGCTCAAGAAGGAGATCAGACCTTGGAGCTCTCATGATGGATCTGAGAGCTGTAGGGTTGGAATCATTGTGGGAAAAGCTCCATCACATAGGGTCCTCAGGGGGCTCCTGGATTTCAGTTCAAATCTAAAATCCTCTGACTTCAATCCCTGACTCAGTCTGGACTCAGCCTCTCTTTAGGTCGAACATTGCCAAAAACTATATTTCCTGTTCATGCAGTCTTGTTAGCAGTTTCATTGATTGTTGCCACCTGCTTGCAGTCATTTGGCCTGTCAGCAGCTGTTTAAGAGCTGCTATGTTGGAAACTCGTATTTCTATCGGGGCTGTTTAAGTGGAACTGCTAGGCTTTGTGGCTGGAGGAGGTGACAGAGTTTGGTGTTGAGCCTCTGTGACGCAGAGATAGGGTTTTGAAAGAACAAGATCACAGTGTTCCCCTACCCCCCTCAGACCTTGTCAGCGGCATTAATGAGAATGGGTTTTAGAGCTGAGAGAATGTTGCTTTTCATTTATCATTTTGTGTTGAAGGTGACAACTCAGACTGTCACTGAAGTTCTTTGCTGAGTTGCTATATGTTTCAACAGTCTGGACTGAGGCCTCAATCTACAGCAATCTAAACCTCAGGAAGTGAAGAGAGGTTCAGTTGTCATAGAGTGACTACTGGAACAACTTTCACCCAGACAACTATCCCCAGTGACAACAAGGTGCAGGGCTGGATGAACACAGCAGGCCAAGCAGCATCATAGGAGCAGAGAGGCTGACGTTTCGGGCCTAGACCCTTCATCAGAAAA